GTTCAAAGATGAGAGTCGTGGAGGTCGTTATGTCCCCGTAATAGGACCTTTTGTGTTTAGAAATCCCCCACCTACATCTGCTTGGAGACAGCCGACAGCTGGATATAGCCGGGAACCCCATAATGGGATGGGATCAAATGACGTTACATTGAGGGATTGTACTATAACTTCAGCAGGGGGTGGATAGGTTGGACATATGTCAGGTTATTTTCTACGGCCACACCAAGTAATTGCTATGAATGACGTCCACTGGAGACCTTAAATCTAATTACCTTAAATTTAAGGCAAGCGCGCAATAAAAACACGAAGGGCCGAAAAACGAGATGCCTAGATTTGGAATATACTAACTGTAGAAGTACAAATGTTAGGACACAAAGAACACAAGAAACAAGTCTTCTATTTGTCATAAAGACAAATTAAAGAGGAAGGTTGGACTATAAAACCACCCAATAAATTCGGGTACTGTAAACTCTCACAGCTCATTCTGCAACTGGCAGCCGTGGTGAACACATGGGGAGAGCTAGGCTGAGATAGTATACCAAGTACACCTCTTCAACATTATGTGGAGACATGGATATGTACATGAAAAGTACATATAATATTTTACTAAACAACAAGAATATAGACTAATAACTACACAGGCATGTACTATGCCAATCCTGGCAAACTGGGACTTCATCTATTCAGCATTTCAGACTTGGATTCTAATATATAATGCAAGAAGCCGCCAAATGTGTTTCTACATGTTTCTACATTGTATCTGGTTTGGCTGTGGATAAGACGTGCAATTTGTGATTACAGATATATGTTTTTGAAACAAACATGGAAGCTTGACAGAGGCTCATCTCAGCTGGAATTGTTCAAATTGGAAACTGTAGGCCCTTATCGTGTATAACGACTGCCAAGTAAATGTTACATGGATTGTGTTTAGGTTTGCTGCAACTGTCTGTGTCATTCCTTGTATGGCAATGTTTTGTTGAAAAACAACATTTTTCAAAACTTCAAACGTCAGTTAATATGCAAATCACTGTCTGTCGTCTGCTCCCATTGTTTCCACTGGCAGTCGGGTTCAGACACCCCGTGGCTTATAATCCATTTATGATGTTGGGAGGATGTGCGGGGTCAATTTAGCTACTAGATCCTCACAGGGGATAGTTTCTTTATTGGTGGAGGACCCAGGGTCCTCATCCCTGCTCTTTAAGTGCCTTTCCCAAGGGCACAAGATCGGTGGCATGTCAGGACTCGAACCCGGGACCTCTTGGTTTCGAGTCGAGCACTCTGCCGTTCCACCACACGACCCCATGATGTCACTATGGTACTACTATACCAAGGAGGAGTAACGTATCCTACATACAATGTAATAAATGCCCAGATCCAAGACTATAAGATTTAAGTTCTTACCTCCAGTCCACAGTACATGAATGTTGGATGTCGGGGAAGCACGCTGTGTTTACGGATGACTGTGGCGTACAGACGCGCACCATCCTTGGAGGCTTTGCTATGCTGTAGGTGGTGAATATCAAAACATAACATTATTTCATCATCATTTTTGTCATAAAAGGACAAAACATATATTATATTATTAACATATAACATATACAATCTACTACATGTACATGTACATGTATTTGGATAAATGAAATGTTTCTTGGAATGGACTTAAGTTCATATTTCTCTCTCTCTGTCCCCCTCTCTCTCTCAGTCCCATAGCTTGTCAGCCCTAGACTTTTTTTAGTTTTTAGATTTTTTGAAGTCATGTTTAAGACTTAGATCTGTTAAAGATTTTTTCATGTACACTTGACCTTGGTCTCCTCAACGGTAACCTGCCAGCCAAAAATAATGAACATCGATCCATGCCTTCAATAGTTATGTTGCTAAATCTACAGGCTCCCACAATAAAAAAAATAATAAAAGCAAACTGATTTTATACCCTTCTGACGAAGGCAAATACAGGCAGAAAGGTGAGAGATGTGAAAGACACTCTAAAGTCTTTACTCTCCAGTCCTGCTACTGACCTTGACCAGCTCCAGATGGTACTGGTGGAAAGGCTTGAGGTGGTGAACAGGTAACTCATACTGAACCAGCACCTGTTTGGTGGGGCTGTCTGCCACTGTCAGCATCAGGGCTGCACAAATGTAAGGAAAAAGAAAGATTTTCCCCAAAACACCTCAAAAACATGTCAGTTTCAGGGCAGTCAGCAGAATTATGAAAGTTGTTGTATAATTATAAGATTCTCATTTCTTTAGAAACAGAGGCAAAAAAGGGAAAGAAACAGATTTTGCAGGGCTCAAAATTAATTTTTGGGAATAGGTGCATTGGTACACCAAGCCAAAAAAACTGTGTGCACCAAAAATTTCTTTGGGGGGTGGCCATATAGAATAGAATAAGTAGAATGTAAACAAAAAATGATAATGTTTTAATAATAAAGAAAAGTAAAACAACAATGAAAAAAAATTGGTTGCACAACTTCAAATTTGCGTGTTGCAGGTATTTTGAGCCCTGGACTTGTTATTAAAACATTTCTTTAGAAATATAAGCAAAAGAGGAAAAGAAACAGTTGAAGCAGTGATCGTACCGTCATCCTGAGCCCCTGACTCAGGCATGACCACGTTGACTCCCTCCTCCCACCAGGGCAGATGTGTGGCCTGCATCGGTGTGCGTGTGGTACCCTGGGCCGGGCGGTTAGCCAGCTCATCACTACGTGTTTTCCTGAGAATAAAAATCAAAATATCCACTGTTAAACGAACGCAGAATAAAGTCACATTCTGACACTACGTGTACATGTTAGACCCTGATATGTTACTGTAATAACAGTGTAATAAATGCACACAATACAAATGTACATATACAATATATACAATAAGTTAAACATTACATTTCAATCATGTAAACAGTGATAACGCTATATTACAAGATATCTACAATGCATATAAATTGTCTGTGATGATAATTAGCAAACTCCTGCATATATCTGACATAAATATAAATTTCATCTGTTGCATCATTAGGCCACAACAATCTAATTTGTTGGTTCACGGACTCATCCGCTTCATTTTTGTCTGATTTGCAAAAAAAGCCAAACATTTCAGCCTTTGGATTTTTTTTTTTTAACCGAATTTAACGTCTAATGGGGGTTAGACGTGCGTGCTTGTACCAAGTACAAGTCTTTTTTTTGAAGCAGGATTTTTACGGCTTTGGATCAACTCCAAAATGCTCATTTTGGTCCCAAAAGTTGAAGGAAGTCCCTTCTCTTCAGAGTTGCTACAGTGACTGTAACAGTTTTTCCATCTATCAATGCAGCTGTTTGATTAAAATTCATAATTATAACGAACCAGCCTGGCATGTTGACTTCATGGCTCCTATCATAGCATTTGGGGCTATCATAGGATGCCTAGGCCTGTATTTCGCCCTGTCGCTTCATATTTTTTCTGAAAAAATTTGAGAACCAACAAATCAAATTGGTGTGGCCTTAGGGGGATAAATGCTGTAAACCTACACTGCAACAAAAGGCAGGGGCTGGCGACCGTCCTCCAGGGCAGGCAGGTTTCTGGCACCGTGCAGGATCACGTACAGCTCAGTTTTCCCCGGGACGGCAACGTGCGCAAACCCAGAGTCATACATGCCTGGCTTCTGCCAGTCACCCAGGGCTGAGTCTGTGGTCTGTTAGTGAAACAGAAACAGGTTTATATGACAATACAAGGTGATTGGTCTTAGCACTGTAGTAGAAATAAATTTTTTCCGTGTTACACAATATTGCAGAAACATTGTCAAAATTATGTTCCGCAATTTGGAAATCCTTTCTGCAAATACACACTTAAAAGTCCATAATATCTAAACCCATGGCATATATACAAAATTGAATGTTGGCAAACATTTTACATGCAATTTGAAAGATACATGCAAAACTACTTGTATATCATAGAATCAGTAGTAAACACAAAGCTCTTTGAACCTCTAGCCTGATTTTCCCAGTCTGCAGAATTGCAGGTTGCTTAATTTTTCTTCAAAATCTGCAAAATGCAGACTGGGTATTTCTAACACTGTCAAAAAAGTCAAATAAGTTCTATTTGAATTATGTGTTCTATATAATATATAGAAAATAATATCTAATATCATACTTTTGAAGAAAGACCAAAAGACAGAATTTGTAAACCCTTTTTGATGTGACATAAAATCCTCGAGAGCAACAGTGTCAAACAAATCATCAATTGTGCAGAAAAGTGTTTGTCAGAAATAAAACTGCAAGAATATATAAAAAATAAGACACAGTACCCTCCTAGCTGGGCCATCTGTGGGTACCGGCGACTCCACGTGAAAGTCTAGTCGAGAGGGGGGCTCTTCTCTCCGAGGGGGCGTCGGCTCGCGTGGAGGGGGTGTGGGTTCCCGAGGCGGTGGGGGGGAGGGTGTCGGTGTTCTCACCCTACGCGGTTGAGGGGGAGGGGTCGGCGTTCTCGGCTGTGGTTGGCGTACTGGTGGTGTCGGTTGTCGTGGAGGCTGTGGCGCTTTATCTCTGTTATCGTGGAAGGACACGTGATACTTGATCCGACCACAGTGCATGGATATAGACTCCGTACTGAGTGTCCTCAGTAATGTCATGATGCCGCTGTAGTTGTACAAGTCCTCGTGGTGTTTTGCCTTCAGGTTGATCCGCGGGGCATTGGTGCGGGGGTAGATGGCAAACTTCGCCTCCCCGACCTTATGACCTGCTGCGCTGCTGTCTGCAGGGAGACTGAAGGCCTCCAGCAGTAGGAAGACGTCATGTTGTTCATCGTTCTTACAGAAACCTGCATGGGGGCAAAGAAAATAGAATCTATGATAAAGAATGCTTTTTGTGTCAATCATACAACGTATGGTACTGATCTTGCATTAGTCATAATCATTATGAATACTGGTTTCTGAGGAACAAAAATACTGGTAAGCTTTAAATATTGAAGAAGATATTGTCACATTGGGACTGTCACAGTTTTTTTTCTAATTTGGCATTGTCTATCCTAGGACCCGATAACTCTACATTTAGTTTAGGCTTCTTGACGTTGAACAACTTACATCTGGTACGTTTGTACATGGCAAACAGCTTTCAAAAGAAAATTGCAATGAAAACTTCATATAGGTTAGTTGGAGATGGTAGAAAACTCTGTACATCTGTTTTCACTGACCAATGGACCACTGATGTCAAAAGCATTATTTCAACTTCAACATCTTGTATATAAAGCTTTAGTATCAATTCATTGTGGCATTGCTTTGAAGTGCCTGGATCCATTTACAATGTAACTGAACACGTAATCTGTGATCCCATGCTTAATCAATAGATCTAAAATGTTCGTTTTTGAAAAATCAGTTGGTGTAGCATACATGTAGTTAATGACCCTTTACCCATGTAGTGATCACCTATCCATCTACAGAAAACACCTGTTCAACAAAGATTAATGATTTACTGAAGACCAGTATATCCCTGTGATGAAAGTGTTGCTATGTAACACAGCTATGTACTTTCCCTATATCCTAGCAGTGTGTACACTCAACAGGAGTGAGTTGCCAGGATACAAGACTCATTGTAATGGTCGGTCAGTCCTGAAGACACTTAAGTTAATGTTACCACTACAAAATGAAACACTTTGTTCCAATTATGAATCAGTTGAGGATGTTATACTCCTCAATGTAAAATGATGTTTAAAAAACCTTAAACAACCACAAAGGCTATGTTGTTCTGTGAATCTGTGTTGTGTGCTTCACTAAAGTAATGAAATGGGTGCAAAAGAATTCAGTACAATGTAATTGATAATCAATGTCATTGACTAGTAATAGATTGAGTACTTCAACCCACATAATTAACTACATCATGTCAAAACAATGGGCAACAGGAGAATTCTTGAATTTGCCATTGTCATTACTGGTATTACCCATTACTGTATAAAAATATGAAACAATTCATCATAACATAACTCTTATCTCTGGTAAGTCTAAAAAAAAATAAAATTACATTCCGCTGTTGAGCCTGGATCAAATTCATGATAAGTGCCTTGAGGTTGTACATGAGGGGGAATCAAATGACTTGAAGGATCATTAAGGGGTTAGTGGAAAACAAAGATGGAAAGAAAACAATACAATATTTGCCCCCATAAGAATCCTTCATGGTGAGTTCCTGTAGCCACACCAATCTATTTCCTTGGTTCTTGGCAGGTTTTTTGCCAGCCCTAGATTTTTTTTCCTACAGTGCTGAATGGAAAACTTCTCACAAAGATTCAGTCGCTGATGCCAGTATACTCTACAGGGGAAAATTTTACCCTCTGACATTTTTTTCATGTTGATCTTTCATGTACAGCTGTATTAATATTGAACTGATAAATTACTACATTGTTTCCCAATAGCTACACTTATGTACTACACAATACAATGTAGCCTGGGTACAACCATCCTAGTAAATCTGATCCGATAAGTCACACCAACATTGGTAAGGATTGTTGGAGCAGATGTAAACTAAAGAGGATGGTACCCAGGCTAACATATAAGTGTCAATGCAATTAAATCTTCACCTCTGGGTAGGAGGAAGGTGAACTTGTGGTTCTGGAAGGTGGACAGGGCATCAATATCAGTCTGCTCCACAATATCTGCAACAGAAATGTATCAGTGCAATAGATGCTACATAAAGCCTTAAGGAACAAAATATTGTGTTTCCTGTTTAAGTCCAGAACAAATTAGGGCCAGTTGGTGGGGATTTTTTTCTTTCCTTTTTTATTAGACTTTCTCGATATCTAGTCATGCAGCTTATGCAATAAAGTAAAACATGTATGAGGGCACTTATATTTTCGATGTTGGAAAACCGATTGTACAATGTTTCATCACTCAGATGTCAGATCATGGAGCTAGAAATGGTCAATTGGGTCAAAAACTTTATGTTCCTTGCAGGGGTCCACCTAAAAAGGCGAGTAGGGTCAGCAGTTTTTTCTAGGGTCGGTCGGGAAACAGAAAACACAGTGGCCTCAGTGGAAAAGATGCTAAATATATTATAGATGCTATATATACATGTAGTTACCTGAGGCAAGTCTTTGATTTACAGCAATATATGATTAACCATTAAATGTCACTAAACAACCTACCTGTTTGTTCCTCTGCCTCGTCCTTTTCCTGGCCTGGTTCCGCATCGTTCAGTCGTACAGAGATGCCATCTACACCAAACATGGGGTTCTTCACAGACAGTTTCAGGAAGTAGCGCCCGTTGTGGTTGAATTGGGCATTCAGAATGTCAAAATCAAAGTTCAGAGTTCTGTCCTGGATGGATGGGACACTGGAAGCCATTTTCTACCTGTGTAAAGAAAATCACAATTTGTAGTAAGTGATGATCATATTGAAGTTACTATAGGATTGTTGTTCATATTGATAACATTTTTAAAATATGTCACATTTTTGTCTTCTACTAGTATTTTGATGTGGACACTTCAATTTAATGGTCTCTTTATTATAAAAAGTTGTTCTTGTCTATTTCAGTTATAGAAGTTATAATTTATAAGGAATATATGAGATAATAATTATATGATAATTGTAAGAAATAATTTGTTTTTTCGAGGGCTTAGTAACATCTGGAATTTGGTGGTAACATGTTACAATGTACAACAGCCTAATAAAACATATGATAGTTGTCAAATTGGTAGCAAATGACATTTACGTAAGGAACATTATGCAATGCAAAATTTTATGTTCCTCTACAACTGTCAAATTTAATTCTGTTTGTCCATTTTCAGCAAATTTTAATTAAGAAACAGAACACATGATCTTAGTTATGATCAGTGTTGTCACAACAATTCATGATGAGTTACTTGTAAACATTGTATTATAAACATTCGATTTCCTCACCATACCAGCAGTTGTGAACTGAAGAAAATCGAGGGAAGGCATAACTTTTAACAGTCTCCACATTTTCTTAAAATACAAATTTGAGCAACTGTTGTGAGTTTACCTCGAACGCTGAAGACGGTATTTTTTCTTCACATCTTCCTTCAGGTCCTGAAACTTCCCAGATCGTATTCAGATCTGCTAAAACATGAAACTATGCCGTCCACAAAACTAGAACTCCGGAAGGCACCGTTAGTGTCCGTGATATCCTAGTCGCGAAAAAAAACTGTGTCGCTGAGCTCAGTTCCTTCCCGCGACCGTTCTGCCTTCCAATCCAGGCTCTACTTGATCCAGAACCGCCCCGCTCCTTTGTCTTGGGTCGGAACAATCTTTAGATCACGGTCTAAGCAAATCAAGACGCAAGAATCTAGGCGATCTCGCACGCAAACATACCTGCACAACCATGGCACCGTGTACACAACCTAACGTGACCCCTGACCTGTTCGGGAGGACACACCTCTCGTCACTAGCGGGTCATTGGCTGGTTACAGATTCGCACCAGGAAACAGGCAGACGGTAGCCAGTGATTGCGTGCGGGGAGATTCGCACCAGAATGCAGTATATACTTTTCTCCATTTTCATTTCCAACAGGACTGAATCCGATCCCTACACGTAGACCATTCGTGAGGACTGACTGAGAAATAATTTTTCATAATATAAACCTCAACAGTGTTATAACATTATTGTCCAAGAAACAGGCTTATCATTGATAAAATCTCAACTACAAAACAGTAGTTTCTATCAAGGTATTTTTCAATAAAATAATTTAAGTTGAGATACTTGGTCTAGTATATCGAGTACTCAAGATGCCATTATAATACACTCAGGATCTTCTAAGGATGTTGGTCTGAGTTAACTGAGGATGGAACATTTTGTAAATGTGGCCTCAATTAGTATTATTGTTTACAGTATTATGTTGCATGATGTGTAGTAGCTAGTATCACAGTGATTGTAGTACAGTACCATGCAGTTCATGACAAAATGAAAAAAGACACAAAGACTATTTCAAGTTGCAAGTTAGGGTCTGGAGGCTTTAATGTTATTATGTACTGATGTCATGAGGTTTGTAAGTTACCATAATTTGTATTGGTATGGTAAAGAGATAATACATCTGAATACTGGCTTTGTTAAACATGTCAATGAATAAATGTGTGAGTAGCTTGTTTTTATAACAAAAAATTAGGATAAGATACAGCAATGTAAGTAGTGTCACTTGAAGCAAAGGTTATTGTACTGGCTTGTTTCATGATAAGACATTGATCACAATTGCTCGTCTCTCATAATGATGCTATAGAAAAGTAATGAAATGAATAATGATAAAAGAATAAAACTTCAGTCAGCATCTTTTGACATTGAAGCATATTCACTTGACTTATATTTCTTTATGGCTGTCTTTTACTTTTTTATTACTCTCTTCAGTTTGTGGGTCTGGCTTGATGCACTCAATTCTTTCTTTTTCAGACACTGATGTCTTTTTTTCAAATTGAATTTTCTTTGATGGTTTAACAAAGGTACACATGCTTAACATGCATTCTGTTATACTCTGTATAGTATCAACACACAGAAGTACATATTTTTTGCTTCAGAACTTAATTTATGATTTTGTGTCTGATACCACCTTGAACAAAACATGATATATTTCCCCAAAATGTGGGCAATGGTTTGCTACTACTAACATAGATGCACAAACATAATGCGATGGGAATTTTCTAAACAAATGAATATTTCCTTAACTAAATAGCAGTGCAGTTAACCAGGACAGCCATCTCTTCCAACCTACTACAACAAATCCTGACGTCATTCTGCATCACCTTGCCATATGGACTCGGTCTTGAAAAGAAATCCTCCTTTTCTCGAGAAACACAACATGAACATGTCCCTTACAGCCCATTTTGACAGTATGTGGGACAAGCTGGGAGGACAGACAGTGTGTGTTGGGGGCCCTGTAGACATCAGCCATACTGTGCTGATGTGATATGCCAAAACGTAGGCATGGGGCAAGTCCCAACAACCAAGCCAAGGCAAGGTGCTTAGCATGTCACAAACTATGATGGGAGTTACACTTCGGGACGCAAATATAAGGAGACTATGTCCCTGAGGACATACGGAAGAAAAACTCGCTATCCGAGGCAGTGAGGCAAAAGCCCGGCCATACCAGCGAGATAAAATAAACAGGTCTCAGCCCAAGTCTACTCTCCCACCAAAACCTGTGACAGCTTTTCTAGCCATAACTTTACTAATGACGGCATGTACCATAGTTTACTGCAGGGTTTGTAGCAACATATACCCGTATAGTGTACAGTAGTTGTAGCTTTTAGCAACTTTAAGAGCATTAATCTGACACATAAAATGATACAGCAACATCAACAAAACATAAATGATTGCACTTAATGTAGTTAAAACTGCAACATTGCCTTTCTCGCTAAAATCCGCAACTTACTTTCTGCCTACGACATTGCAATGGAAATAGGATGCATGTCAGAAGTGCAAGTCTGTAAATAACACTGCAACATATAGAAGAAAGCAACTGTCTGCACAACATACAAAAGGTGCAAAGGCTATGCAAAACTGAATTGCAAATGGAAATGTGAAAGAACTGATTTGCACAAAGTAAACTTTCTCACATTTTTTTTCTTGTAACATGTGGCAACAAGATGCACAAACCAAGTGCCACAAGAGACAGTTCTCATGAATTCAAAGACAAGGCATTGGTGCTGATGATTTAGAAAATGTAATGCACCAGCTCTTTGATTTAGATTTTTCTTATAGAAAATATAACAAACTATAAACAGAGATGCTGTTCTGACATTGCTTTAGCCGAGACATCCTATGATAAACACAAACAGGAAGGAAAACAATTTTAAATCTTTCCACAAAACAACACAAGAAAACACAACATAATCCCTATGTAAGCTTGAGTTGAAAAGCAACCACTTTTTTTTGTTACTCAAATATTTTTCTATAATTCAATTTAATGTACCATATACCATCTTAGTTCTTCATTTTCCACTGTTTTGGGGTCGAAAACAAAATTATCTTTCATTCCTGAAGAATTGAAGTGCATGAAATCAGGTGTAATTTGGAAGTTAACATCCATAGAAAGGAAAGTCAGAAAATGCCTTTGAAGTGTTGACCACAAATGTTTTTTGTGACTCACAAAATACTAATGTACTGCATTGCTTTTAGAACATTGCGACAATATCTTACCTGAAACAAGAGCACCATTCTTTTACATCTAAAGCAGAAACTATGGTATGATGCTTCAGTAAATATGAAAGTAAATAGTTCCAATATCAGCATTAACTTAAACATACAAGCTACGCAATTGACATGTATTCACGCTAACGAAATATATAGACTCATAAAGAAACACTTAGTAGAGTACAATAACTGAACAGTGTTAAGTAGTTTGTAGCCCCCAGACTTGCTTCTTTTTGTTGCACACATTGACAAGCACATATATCAGTCCTCGTACCGATCCATTCATTGTCCATTCCAAAACCTTCTTGTCCTCAGCATCCAGCCCTAAAGCTGGATGTCTCTCTCTTTCTCCACCCGTTCCTCCTACTACTGTGAAGTCTTCAGGGGTTCCGAGAAGGCTGCTGCCAGCTTCACACTTCTCCTCACCACACTTCCTCGCGTCAGTCCTCCTCCGTCTTTTCTTCCCTCGCTCCTTTGCTCCTTCCTCTGTCCTTTGCCTGTCTTCTTGACATCTCCTACTCCCCCCTCTACGTCTTCTCTTGACTCGGTACAGTCTGCAACAAGCTTGCCTAGTTTCTTTACGTCTTGCGCATTGCCTGAAAGTGAAGAAACAGGACTGTTTGTAAGGCCTACAAATAGGACTTGATTATCAAGCATAGTCATGTACTTGACTGTTAACAACAGTATGTACTGCTAGTAACAACATTATTAAAAACCTCTTACAACTTCAAATGACAACATTTTCTATTAGCTGTCATTTAGATGAGGATACCAGTGTTTAGGCTGATATGAGTATAGTCTTTTTATTCTTTGTTTGCTACTACAGACATCATTTAGACACTCTTTCTGTTGACCCTTTTTAGTCTTAGGCCACACCAATTTGATTTGTGGGTGAAAATATGTAGGTTCTGAGTCAACTCTAAAATGCTAATATTTTGGCCCCAACAGTTGCAGAGGGTGCCATGTCTTCCTAGTTGTTAAAGTTTTCATCTATCAATTGCATTAGTTTGACAAAAAGTTTATAATTCATTGTTTGACTATTTGAGTTGTTGACTTCATGGCTCCTATTAAGCTTTTGAGACAATCATAGGATGCCTAGTCCTGTTTTTAGTTTAATTTTTGGGGGGCCTTGTCGCTTCATATTTTGGTAAAAAAAATGAGAGAACCAACAAATCTAGATGGTGTGGCCTTAGAAATAACTTTTCCATA